ATCCGGCACCAGGGCAAGCGACGTTCCGGAGACAGGCGGCCGCCCCGCTGGCTGAGGTTGGCCGCGCTCTTTGAAATGCTGCTGTACGCGGTGTCGTACCTGCCGCACCTGCTGAAGACGTTCATACTCAACGACCAGGCCACGCTGGCCGGGCTGCTGATCCTCTGCATCGACCTGCGTCCCGGCAGCGCCCTGTCACTGCTCCTTCCCGTCTCGTGCATCGCCGACTACGTGGGCGTAGTGGCCTCCAGCAGCCTGCTTTGCTGGACGGCACTCGAGTTCCCGCGCTCCGGCCCGCTGCTTCTGGTCTGTGCCGCAAACAGCGCGGTGAGCAGTGCCGATAAACCGGTACAGGATTCCCTTACACGAAACGATATGAACTAGCGAGAGATACAGCATGTTGTATCCACAGAAGTGCGAAACTGTAGATTCTTAAAAAACGGGTCACTTGTCAATGCCGAAGCAAAAGAAAATTGCGTTTAGGGATCGGATTCGTACGGATCCCGGAACATAATTTTGTCTTGTGTTGACATTGGCATGTGACCCGTTTCATCTCAAAAGAATCGGGCATTTTCGATAGCCGTGCCGGGTGGGCATCACGGTGGCGCTGATGCAGGGCATCATGGCTATGTCGGTGCGCATAACTGCAGACGGTATTCCGTCGAACTCTCGACTACGATTTCGTAAGATGTGCGTTTGAATGGTATGTCTAAACCGATCCACTTATAGGTGGTAACAATGTCCACAGTTGGACCAGATGGTACATGATGAAATACCAGGTATAGAAAGGGAACAACGGACACAGAAAAAAAAAAAGGAAACAGATTCGCACAAGTGGCACCATGCCTGAACGAAGTGCACCAGGACACCCTTCTTCATTTCTCCTTGGTTTATTCTTTCTTTTCTCCCCTCTGTTACGCTCTCTTTTCCAGCTTTCCTTGTTTTTCTCTATTCTATTTCATTTTTCTTTCACGTTTTTTTCTGTATTTCTCTTCTCGCTTTCGACGACGACAGCATACGACCACCCCACTCCATATGCCCCTAAAAGAAAGCGACAAGGGAAACCTTAGCGGGTGCTTGCTTGGGCACCGCTTGATTGCATTGCTACGTACAGAAGGGGCATCGAAAGGTCATGCTTCCATAGTAATACTTATAGAATAGTGTCCATGGAAACATTCGACTTTTTCATCCACTGCCCGTTATTACGAACTACTTAGAGGACGAAGACAGAGCAGTCCTAGTCCTGTAATCGGACAGCATAGAAAAGACATAGCTGGAGTTGCTAGTTTGACTTTGTCCTGTCTTCTTTTCTCCGTGTCCTTTGTTTCCATGGTGGCACGTATTTGACCTCCAATCATGGTCTCGCATACACATGAACCACGGAAATGATTTAGTTCTGTTTTCTTTAAGGCGAAAGCGATCCCGTGGCTCGTTGTGCAATGATCTTGAGTGAAACACTGCATGCAGGCGCAAAAAAAAAAAAAGCGAGCCAAAAACCTTCGCGAGTCGTAACCTGCAAGCAAGCGTCATTGTGACGTCACGACATTCCGTATAAACGTTCTGTGATCTGTCGTTTAGTGAAAGGTGGGCCGATATCCACGTGAAGTTCAGAAAGCTTCAGAAAGAAATAGCGAAAATGGTGGTTGAGGGCGCTTGCCCTGTCATTGGCGCATATTGTAAATCTCTCGACAAAAGAATCTCTTGCTCGGGGTTTTGTGGTATAGAACGCTTTATTCGAAATTTTCGAATATTCGCACACCCCTATAAATCGGGCATTTTCGATGACCGTGCCAGGTGGGCATCACGGTGGCACTGCGGCAGGGCGTCATGGCCGTGTCGGTGCGCGGCTTCCTGTGGGGCCTGGTGCTGTCCTCGCTGGCGCAGCTGGCACACAGCCTGTGGCTTCTGTTGCTGCTGCTGCTTGCAGCCGATACATCAGCTGCGGCGATAGAACCTGCAGTGTACAGCCGAGCCCGTGGCCCCGTGGTCAGCACCAAGGTCCAGGCTCTCAGGGCCCGTGCTCAGGGATGCGTCGACCCAAGGCCCGACGCGATGGGCTTCTTCAGGATGGACCGCCGCTGGCTCTTAGAACTGCTCGGCGCCGCTTTTAATCTGGGCGTCGTCCTCTACCAGGTGAGTGCGAGCGCGCGGAGATTAGCAGACCCGTTCACGAGAGTGCTCACCGGGAGGGGAGACGAGACACGAGTCTCCTCGGCCGTTCTATCACTCAGTCGAACATCATAACCAATTGCATACTATTTCTATGTATGCTCGTGCGCGCGTTTGCACATGTAAACTATTTATGCACATGTAAACCATTTTAACAAAACTGAAATATCTCGCGTATAAGCGCAGCAATAGGAGTTAGTTCGTTGTAAATCTTCTTGGGTTATAAGCACGCTTTAAACGCACTAGGACGGACTATATGTACAGGGTGTTTCAAAAAATGTGTCCAATATTCCAACAAAAAAATCGGAAAAAGGCCCTATTTACTCGCTGTCTTCACAGTTGTTTTTTCTGTACTGGCAGGCATCCGAAGAGGGTTGAAAACATCATTTGTAACAGTAATTAGTATAGTTAAATTTATTAACTTTTTAATGACAGAGTTAAGGAGTTATGTCAAGTGGGTGAATTTAAGTTTTTCGGGCGAAGAACCTATTGCAGCTTTGAGATTTTGAAATAAAAAAGACCTCTAGTAATAATTGCGAAGTAAGAAAGCTCCTAGATTCTGCGACGAAACCGAAACCAAAGCACCGATGAGCACAGCAAGTAGATGACTACAATGACGTTACTGTTCAAAACAGCGGTTACAGATGTGCTGTTCTTCCCCGTTTGTTCACGTACGAGCGTCATGCGAGCTAATACTGCAAGTGCAGCCCAAACAACGAAGTCGGTTGATGGTCGATATATATCAATGCTTCCTCCTTTTGTACTTCCCAGACGGATATGGTATAGTTGCGCTCCTTCGCTGCGCTTTCGCCTCAGAATTAAGGAGAATTTCATTACTTCGCAGTTATTACTATAGGCCACTTTTCAGAAACCTCAATCTGCAATGGGTTCTTCGAATGGAAAACTTGAATTTTCTTAATTGACTTAACTATACCTAACTCTGCTATACAAAAAGTTAAATTAACTTATTTTATTACTGCATGTTGCAAATGATGTCTGCCCCGACAGAAAAAGCAACTATGAAGGCAGCGAGCAAGTAGCGCATTTTCCAAATTTTTTTATAGAATATTGGCCACATTTCTTCAAACACCGCGCTCTGCATAGACACAAGTAGTGTCCATCTGCGTTCGCGTTCTAAACATTTCTTAGTCTGCGCTCCGTGTCTGTGGTTTCTAGTGCGTCCTGGTACGTTCAAAGCGCGATAACATAAGATCACGGGAGGGGGGGGGGGTTGACCCCTTTCTCCTTCCCGCCAATCTGTCTTCTGCAGTCTGCGTCAGTGGGTTATCGCCACGCAAGCTTATGATGATGATGGCGGCCAAACGACCCGCAAGTTGCATTTAACCTTCGAAGGAAACGAATGACACCGATAAAAATATGAAGCTTCTCGGCTTCGATACACCTTTGTCACAGTGAGGCAAAATTTTATATAGGTGGCGCAAGCACTGCGTGTCGGACGATGCTTTTGCGATTGAGTGCCTGCCTTGATTCGAAATACAGGCGCGACTTCCAGTTTCTCCCTCCCGGCGATACTCGCGTTTATTCAGTCAGTGTGCGATCAGCCACGACTGCATGCTCGACCGGAGCATTAGATGCCATTTCTTTGACATCAATCTGATGCAGGCGCACGCGCTGTCCGAGGTCGCTGGTTTCTCTGGTTTAAACACTTTCGCAATCCGCACAAGAGATTTGCCTGGTCAGCTTGTGTACAGTCTCATGGGCGACTTCACACTTTGAGGAACAGGAACGCGTTTCTTCCGACACCAAGGAAGGCTGGGAGGGAAGAGACCTTCTAGTACGCGGGAGACTCCCGGACGCGCTGTGCTCGGAGGCAGCTGTGCAGAGCTGTACCAGCTGCCACGTTATCATAGAGGGCGGCGGCGAGATTTGGCCTGGGCGGAGCCTACGCCCCACGACGTCGCTACAAGCACCTCAGTATGCCGATCATGCTCACCGCTGTTTACAAACACAGAATAGCTATATACCATATGATCATACCATGTGGGTCCTATCTTCAATGCCTCACGTAGTCTATACCATGCAGGGCACTCCAATTTGGCTGAATTTACTGACAAATTACTTGAGCAAAGATACGATACAATATGCCCACGTATGTCAGCGCACTTTTGGCACAAATATTTTCGATGTCACTAAATGTTACAGTGGGTACGGGAACCAAAACAGCTGGTAATCTGCTTATCGCATGATTATCGAACGATTTTAGTTCATTTTAGTTTACGCCGCTGGCATCGTATGATTTAAGTCCATTTTAGTTTATTTTCTCTGTCATGATTACCCATCAATTAATGCTGCATAGATTTTGTCTTCATTATCTGTTCACTTCATATACCCGTATAAGACTTTCGAAACTTATTGCATGTCTTGAATAAGTGCGTGACTGGGATTAATAATCGATGACGATTTATAGAAGTTCGATTAATACGTATTCCGTCCATTTCCCGATTGCTGCTGCGAGCTAAGCCCCAGAGTATCGCTTTTGATATACATTAGTGGCGTATTGTATCAACAAGAAATGATTGCGCAAGAAAAATACAGCACGCAATCGCGCAGGTGTTCTTTCGATCAATTGTGTGCTTTGCGCAATACTTCATCTGCCGCTATGGCAAACGTTGCCCAAGCGCTCGCATCATGCCTCTTTTTCTTTGGTACGCAGCTGACGAGACCCCTGTCGGAGACAGAAGCCCGAAGATCACAGCTCCTCAAAATGGAGTGGGCCAAGGGACACTGCGGACCACGACTCGGGTGCGCGTCGTAACTTTTTTTCTTTCTTCGAAAGATCGTCAATAAACACGGAGAGGGAGGAGATGCAATTAATGCGTCGTCACGGGACTCGTGGACCGTTTCAAGCGCGGCAGCACGACCGCCGCGAATCCGGTCATGGAGCACGGCAGTTTGGCCGCCTGCTCCCACACGTCCTGCCGCATCCCGTAGGTGAGCACGTCCGCGCTAGCCTCGGTCTGATTGGCGTTCACCAGGCCGCCGAACAGCAGTATGACGTCGTCCGCGTTCACCACGCATGCGCTGTGTCGGGGCTGCGGAAGTGGCGCCGCGGTGTGCCAGACGCCCTTCTTGGCGTCGTACCAGAGCACGTCGGCGGTGACGTCAAGCAGGCAGTCTTCGCCCCTGGTCAGGCCCCCGACGGCGAACAGCTGGTCCATGTAGGAGACCAGGGCCAGGGAACCTCGACCTGAGGGCAGCTGGGTCGCTTCACGCAGCCACCGCTGGCACACCGAGTCCCAGTGTTCGACCGAGGGAACCAGAAACACCTTGTCCGTGCGCCGCCTGGACTGGATGACACCACCCGCGATGTGCAGGTAGCCGGCGTGGTACGCGGCGCCCAGGGCGGACATCTTGCAGCACAGCGGCACCGGACACTCGGACCACTGGTCCTGCCAATTGTGTCACGAGAAACAACCGTCGACTCAGAGGCGGCTTTTTTATCTCTGCTTTACGACTAATGCCACACGGTGCCGTTTTGGTCATAATTGAGTCCTATATCGGGATCATATATCTTTATCACAGTTGACTTGCACGAGAAGGGGGAAAACGACTGTTGAAAAATGCAGTGCAGCGCGGCACAAAGGAATTAAGGAAGCAATATAAGTTTCTTGCTCCTTATAACTCGGCGCCAGATTTCTTACTCCTTTCATATGTCTATTTTTGTCGCGCTATACAACATATCTCTTGAAACGATTATCACTGGACAACTTGGTGCACGACATGAGAATTGGGTTCAAGAGCGAAGCGAGGGATGACGCGGGCCCGAAGAATACAGGACCCAGTCATCTTCTAAGGCTACTTCCTATTCCTCACACCATTTAACAATGCAATTTCTGTCCACGGAAATGCTGTCCGACTTGCAGCCTGACGGAGACAAGATATGCCCACTTCCCCCAAGTGCGCCGAAATAGGCTAGGCAGACTGGTCCCTGCCTTTCCTTAGCAATTAAGCTACGGAAACACGGTACCACTCTTTTCCGGTCGTTGTGCTTTGCCGATGAAGGCAAGAACACCGCAAAAGCTTCTTCAAAAAAAAAATGTTATTCAAGCCCGTGGTGTCGCTATGATACACCACCACGGGTTCGAGCACTGCGAGCTCCAAGCTGGGGTGCCGCGTTCACGTTCGTCTGTCTCGCCGCTGCGCACGCGATGAAGGGTCTGCGAGCTCACGTGGCACTCTCCGTATGGGTGCTTTATTACGGGAAATTTCGTACACGTACATGACTCATTCAACATAACCAATCGTGGCATAATTCTGCAGGACACCAATTGGCTAATACAAGATATATAGAATAGTGACTGCGAATGAAGCACTCGTAAAACTAACCCAATTTGAAGCACCGAAGTAAACTTTGGCCAGCGCTCCCGCGCACCCCAGAGCAGACTGAGCAGACCACACACACAGGAACAGTTGAGAGAAAGACATGCACGATCGCGAGCCGCTGCCTCTGGACTGCCGATGCCCCAACGTAACCACCGGCCAGCAGCGACGAAGAACAAAGGATCGCCGCCGGCCGGAGGGGCAACCCTCCGAGGTGCCGAAGTGGTCTCTCCTGTCTCACGGCCCCCGCTTGTCGGGCGAGCACAAGCAAGGCCCGAATCCCGCCAAAATTAGGCCAATGAGACACCGTGTTTAATTTTCAGCGGCGGGATGACAGCGAAGTGGCGGCGATTTATGATCCGCCCCGTCGGGAGGAAATCGACAGACCGGAAAATGGCGACGGGCGTGGACGCCTCAGCTCCCGAAAGCCGCGTTGTTGCCTGTGACCCTTGTTAACTAACGAGGAACCCGTCGTTCGGGGGAAGCACTGCACCGGGAGCACAACAAAAGGGAAAGGAGGAGCGCTGCCGTATTTTCGTAATCGAAAAGAAGTTCAACATCACATACCTGCGTGGGGTCGTAAATCTCGACCGAGGCGAGGAACCGGTCGAACTCGTCCTGACCGGCGACGACGTACAGCTTGTGTCCCATGGCCACCGTGGCGTGGTTGCATCGCGCGTGGTTCATGTCGGCCACGCGCTCCCACTTTCCCGCGCCGGTCTCCTCGAGCGCCATGCGGAAGCAGCTGCGCGTCGCGTACTTGATGGCCAGGTGAGTGTTGCGCATGTCGAAGCCGCCCACGAGGTAGACGTAGCCGTCCAGAAAGGCGGCCGTGTGGTTGTGCCGCGGCTGAGGCAGCCGCCCGCACCTGGACAGCAAAATGTGAGGCATTCTGTATGCCTGCAGAGCTACATCGCATACACTGCAAAGAGTGTGGCTATATATTCTTCAAAAAGACGCACGAAATAAAGGAGGGCACAAATTGAAACAGCAAAGCGCGTGCGTCAGTGCAGGTTCCATTCTGCTTACGTCACCAGAAACTGACTTCATCAGAAGCAACATATATGTAGCAAAAAGTCAGCCAACTCGAAAGAAAACGTCGTGAGTTGTCACCATATTCCCTCATCACTCTACGGGTAGCATCAGGGATGGTTTGCTGAGATCGTATTCCCTTCTCCCATCGTGAACTGCTTTATTTCACCCGTTTTAAGTTCTTTTTTCTTCGTGTTTTTATACAATTGATGGGTTATAACGTTCCAAAACCAAGACACGATTATGAAAGACGCCATGTAATGGGATGCTACAGAAATTTCGGCCTCCTAGAGTTCTTTAACGTGCACCTATATGTAAGTGTAATCAGTCCTCGAGCACTTCCACCACCATCTAAAATATGGCCGCTGCGGCCGGGATTCAATCCCGCAACTCGGCAATCGAGCACCACTACACCACCGAGGCGGGGGGTGTTTTTTTTTCTTTAATAAACCCAGTTCGCGCTTGTCGTGCCTACTTCGTGCAATGTCCTCCCAGGGTACTCCTGCCCACCTATTAAAATTACGCACCTGCTCAGTTCCCGCTTCGTCGGGTGGTAGCGAAGCAAGGCGCATCCCGTCGCCAGCTCGTGGCTCTTTCCGGGCTCCACGCCGCCCAGCAGGAGCACGACAGCGCAGTCCGGGTCCTGCAGGGGTCCCTGGTGCCACGGAAGCGTTCGCGAGGGATACGTGTCCCACGTGACGGGCGGGATGGATCGGGAGCCCGGGTGGCGCACCAGAAAGTGTTGGTACGGGTCGTCTTCGTCCAGCACCGCCTCCAGCTCGACCACGGGCCGTACGCGGGCGTGCACGCGCTTGTACTGCCGCAACGCCAGGAACCGGCGGGCCCAGGCCTGGCAACGCGTAACCTGAACGAAGGGACATGCCGCTACGTGCCAGTGCAATGAAGAACAACAAGAGGACGACAAGACTCGCGCGATGAAGCTGTCCGTATCGGCAGCGCTGCTCGCCTATAGCTTCCGTAAAAAATACAAAGAGATGTGCACGTTCCATCACGATGAAACGAAACGCGAACAGCGGGAAGTGTGCCATTCAGATCAGTCCAAAGACGACTTGCCTTGACTGTCACTATAGGTGAACCTGTCCTTTCGGTAGGCGCCACCATAGCGCTAGACTATTGCTCAGGCTGAGGGGCAGAGCCTGGATAAAAAAATCACGCTTGGCTATCAGAATATAGACACGGTGCAGTAGCGCCAGCTGTAAGCAAGATTCTAGTGACACACTAACGTCATCTGAAAGCAGACTCGTCCGACGGCAGCTAAGGGAAGACGCTCGGAAGGATTTAGCTGTGCACGTGGAGTGCACTTTTCTCTTTAATTTCATTGAATCACACTCTTTCAGAGAAAGCATGTCGGAGTTGGACCTTGTTGAAAGGTACGCTGTTCGCGTTTCTTTTCAGCGCTATAATACGTGCACGGCCGCTCGAGATCGAGCGGCCGTGGCAGTAGCGTAGCCAGAAGTTATTTTGCAGGAGGAAGGGGTCAACTAAACTTTATGCATATTCGTGTTTGCCTGCGTGTGCGCGTATGTACACACGCAACAATGAAAAATGAAAGATAGCTGGTTGACAGCTGTGTATTATGAGCTACTTGCAGACTTGCATGCCCATCCTCACGTGTGGCTCGTACAAATACAAAGCCTTCCATGAGAGCACTACGAGACAAGATGCATCACAAGTCTGATGTGCCAGCTTCCGCTGACCTGCTATAAGGATTGTGGTTATAACAGGGAAAAGAAGAGAAAAGTGAGCCCCGTAACTGTCTGCATCAGCATGTGACACCTCAACAGTAGCTCACAAGGGATGGGGGTGAGGAGGGATTAAAAGAATAGGATTAAAGGTATAGAGAGAAAGAGAGGTGCGCTAGGACAGCGAGCGACGACATATGAGGGATAGGAGAGATAGGAAAGATGGAAACACGGTCACAGGAGTTCGAGGACGGGGCACCACTTGCGAGAGCTCTTGTCGGCGACAGGAGATGGCATAGGGCTAATCCAGTCGGCCAGAGCTGCGCTGACGTCGTCGTAGGGGACCGGCGGCAGGAGGTGGCGTAGGACGAACCCAGTCGGCAAGAGCTGCGCTGTCGTCGGAGATAGCGAGGGCACAACCGGTCGGCACGGAATCCAGCGAGCCAGTCTAAACTGGCAGTTCAGTCTACTATTGTTAGCCTGCTTAAATGTTACGCTTGTCTGAGTGATGGCGCAATCTGGCCCGCCATCGTCATGTGGTTGTCACGCGCTTTTCCGCATAATGTCATGAGCTATCTTGGAAGAGGAAGGATCAGGCGAAGCACGTAATCATAGATTCCTATAACGATTGGCAAAACGAAGATAATCGTTGGGGGGGGGGGTGCTATCACCCCCTTTACGTTAAGTCGTTTGAGCCTCGTGGCACACACGTGTACCGCGAATAGACCACCATTAGGGTTAACAGCCACTGAGCGGTAGGTGGCTCTGCGCTCGCGCGCCATGTTCACCATCATCATCATTATAGTAAGCACGGTAGCGACAACAGTGACGACTGGCGGCGAGGCGAGGTGGTCACACAGAAAAGATTGACGAGCCTCTTTGGCATGTGGCAAGAATGGTTGTCCCAGCATGATCTTCACAAGATCCTTATTGCTTTACCAGCCACCGGTCCACCACGCATTATCATTTTGAAGATACGTTTGAAAATGTGGGGTTTCAAACATCTGACTTCGCTGTAGAGGTTCACGTTTGCGTCTCTGATTTTAGATAAGAAAATTGAGTGCATTGGTTAGTTCCGTAAAGGATTCCGACACCACTGCTAAGCCAAGCGTAATGTTTTAGGCCGAACGATGAACCTTTAACTCATAATATGCATAATCTAGAGGCGAGCAGTTGGATTTACTAAACATTTGTGGTGCATACCCGTTTATGATGGACCGAGACGACGACATCGGAATCCGAGACCCTATATATAGGGTATACAAGGCTCACCCTAATACAAGCTAATACAAGTTTCGCACACAAAGCCAATGTTGCACGGAATTGCGGCGCGCCTGCCATTATTCTGTGCAGGAGAGCCTTGCAAAGTGGTTTTCATCCTATACAAACTGTGGGAATTGAGGCTAGCCCGCCGCCTTTGCCGCCTTTTCTGCCGTTCTCATGTCCCGACATGACTCCCATCCTCCGCTGTCTGCCACGCTGGGAGAGTGGAGTGACGTTTAACCCCTCTCACCTCTCCGGGGACGACATGGGGGTAAGCACGCTTTTCTTTTCCATCCGTCAGCTCCCTGTGGGGCTCATTCGAACTTCGCCAACAGCGTCTTGCACCCGCGGTGAACGCTTACCTTATGTCGCCCCCCCTTCCGAACGTTAGGCCGAAGATGGTGCGGGGTCCTAGTGCGTGGCCAGGCTACGCCGACCCGTATCTCTCCGAAGCCAACGCGAGCGCCTTTGCCCTCGCTCGAGCAACCGGGCCTTGGTCCCGGTGTCTCTGTGAATCACTTTTACCACGGAGACGTGCTCGTGGTACCCTGTGAGGTACTTTGCGCCCGTGGCGTGGGTAAGCCCATTTGCTTTCCCGCCGCACCTTTGCAACGGGCTGTACTGCGTTTGGTGTTGCCACAGGCAATAAAGTGTTGCGACTTTGAGCAGTACTGTGTTCTCGCCATGGCGACAGTTAACTTGTGCCCTGCGGCTCGCTAAGACCGGACCCACGCTAGTGGCCGTACTCATTTGGGAAACGTGTCACTACAAAGCATGCGTAAACACGACGTATATTATAAACTAAAAGTTCGTCGTTTCTAATTAAAATATCACGTTGCTTAAACTTGCCAGGAGTTCTCGACCGAAAACTAGTGACACATGTGCCTACGCAAGAGTCATCGTTACCACATGTACGGCAGATGCACACAGCATAGTTACATCCGTTCACCGCTTGTCGCTGGGTGCTCGTGGCGAGTGGCTCTCCCATAGTAGAGGCCCTTGTAGTCAAGCAAATCTAAACCGACGTCGTACCTGCTCAAATTTGGCTTCGTAGGGCGTGAAGTCGATCTGCATGTCCTGCGAAGCGTCGCGACGCACTTTGGTCGACAGCGACTCGCTGGAGTCCACCCATGTGGGCACAAACTCAGCACACGGAGCATCGGCCGCGCCCATCTCGGAATCCAGCTTGGGCAGCGACGAGTGCAGCGGCCAGCCGCGGTGGCGCCGGTACGCGTCCTGAATGCAGGTGGCCGCGTCGTGCCTGAGCGCCTGATTCTCGCGCGTGTATGAGCACTTCTCGAAGTTTCTGACGACACCCTTCTCGTCCCAGTCGATGGCCGGACCGTCCTCGGCCAAGTAAGTACGCGGACGGGCCCTGCGAAGCTTATACTATCACTATCGCATCCTGTCTTAGACACAATATTGATTGAAACTAACCGGCAAGAAAGCCAAAAAGATGTATAGAATTTATTCGTAGGTATAAATGCGAATAAAGTAAAGGTTACGAAAATATAACACGTCGCTGGCAGGAAACGAACTCGCGACCTTCGAATGACGCGTACGATGCTCTACCAACTTCGATACAATCCCACCTTGCACTTGATTGGGTATACGTAATGTGCATTTAAACCTGGGAGTGTCAGTCAGGGCCACTAGTAGTCATGACGGCGTGTGTGACCGCTCTCCACTAAGCCTTCATTGGCAAGGTGGCCACTATAGTGAACTAAAGTGGCAACATCATCGCCACGCCATTTTGAAGGCCCGTTCATGCAGTCCGTGCATCCGCGTTCAAGAGGAGTTCCGGATGTCTCTAGTCATCGAGGTCACGGTACAATCTCGGGCACAGCGCATGCAGCAAGTTTTTGCACGTGCGGCGAGCGCGCGGACTTAAAGATGGCGACCCCGCGACTAATGGGGATGAAGTCAAGTGCGTACCCTCAAACATTCCCTTCCACTACAGTGGCTAGTGTACTTCCACGTCAAAAAAATCTCACCTGTATTCATGCACCAGGTCCTCTCGGTTTTTCTCAATCGCCATGTGCAGGAAGATGGCCTTGACGATGCTCAGCTTGACGTTGGCGTTGACGGCCGCGCTGGGGCAGATGGGCGGCGAGAAGCAGCGCATCAGCGTCGCGTCCTGCATGAGCGGAAAGCGCACGCACTCGAGCACCTGTTCCTCGAGGCTCCGGCGCTTGTCGTACTCGTGGTCGAGCCACGTCAGCGCTGCCACGTACACGTTCAGCTCGTTGCGCGTGCCTAGCTCGTCGGAGCGCAGGATGCTGCACAACTCGGCTGCCGTCAGGTCCAGGAACTCTCGGCAGCGCATCACGTTGTCGAAGTGTTCCACCAGGAACTGGAACGCCACCTGCGTTGCGTCGTGGCGTGGAGGTTTCTATTAATTGGCCGCTATGAAGAGGAAGGCTGGTGGCGTAAATACATAAACATCACATGACGATGCACAAACACCTTGCAGAGTGGCCATCTTGAAAGTAAATTGAAAAGCAACAATGGGTTCCCCATCTCGTCATTGCATTGTCTCGGTCTGCCTCCGTGGAACTGTGGCTACAGTGCACGGCTGCTGATTCGAAGGTCGTGGATTCGATCCCATCTGCGGCGGTCGTATTTTGATGGAGGCGAAATGGTAGAGGCCCGTCTACCTAAGAAACACCAGATGATCTGAATTCCCAGAGTCCTCCACAGCGGTGTCCCTCATAATCATATCGTGGTTTTTGTATATAAGACAATATTATGTTATTAAGTACATTTGTATACATTGTGTCTTTAGTTTTCTCTGAAAAAAAAATCGAGTGGTGGTTGCGATTTCCGTGTAGTCTCACAGAGTTGAGCATTATTTAACATAAGCTAGAATTGGTAGTCGGTAAGTATTCGTTCCAGAAAGAAAGAGCGTGCAAACACTTCCGTGTCCTGACTTCTTGTGTTAGCACGCGACCTATCTTTTTAGACGGAGTACACTGCAACATAAACGGGGAATAAAGAAAAGTTTTAACTCTCAAGCCACTAAATTTTATGAAATTCAAAAAAATAAATCTTAAGGGGGACACCTGCAAGTGGTGCCCTCCCCATAAGAGGGGGGGGGGCAAGAGCCCTTCCCCACCCTTTGCATTGCGCAGCGTCTATAACGGCGTTCCGCGCGTGAGAACCCAAGGTTAGAAGGATGATGTTTTTCTTTTTTTTCTTCCACTGTGCAGCCAATAGTGCTGTCCGTCGCACGTGGCGTTTTTCTGTCGCAGAAACGTGGTATGCGTTTCCAGCTATAGTAGCTAGAAAGCACGGTTAAAAAATATTATGAAGCGAACAAAACAAACAGCATTCTCGGCCCGGCGTTGGTGTTTCACAGCGGCGTCTCGAGCACATATTTCGGATGTTCTTGAGAGGCACCCAGCCAGTGAACTGTAGATAGTGAGGCGCGAGCGGACAGGAAAGTGGGGCGCACGGAGCAGACAAAGCGAACAGCGAGAGAAGGAGTGGCGAAGTATTGCACCTGCCCTATCCTACACTCTATTGCACCACATGCTCCGGTTGCTAGGGGCGAGGATAAGCGCGAGCACCTGCAGCTGTTCCTATGGGAGGAGTGAGGGCGACGAGATAACACCTGCCTGCGCGCGGACAACGCCGGATGCCTGACATAGCCCGACTAAGAAATGCATTGGCATTTAAAAATGTTCTCGGCCAAAACATACGTTCGCTCAAGACGACTCAGAGACGAGAGCCATCTGGTTATTTTTTAAAGACGATAGTCTTTCTTGGGATAGAAATTCTCGTCGGTTTGTCTGTCCTTCTGTTGGTCTGTGTAGAACGATTCAACCACCCGGCGAAAGTTTAAGCCCGTGCTCACCACTCAGCCATCTTGATCTGCTTGCTGTTTTTCATAACTGTGAAAATTGTCAGTCAAAAAGATAGTATTACGCATATTTGAGCCTAAACATCAATACGTGAGTATTGGGTATTACTTTATTTCTGAAATGCATCAGATACGCAATTACAAAGAGCCGTAGTGCTTATTACGATGCGCTGACAATGCGACGCTATGAACAAAAAAGCGGCTGCTTCCTAAGCTTCACTAAAACGACACTGGTGCACCTGCTTTCAACCAGTAGCTCTGCGCGTTCTAGAAAAACTTTTGTTTCTTTAAATTACTGCCAGGTGGCGTCCATGTCTCACCTATTCTCTCGCGCAGAACGTCAAATAAACGTTTTATTCTTTATCGTTTTATAGCTTTATCAGGTGGACGCCAGGTGGTGTCCACCTACTCACTGATTCTCTCGCGTGGAATGTCAAATAAACGTTTTATTCTTTATCTCCAGACAGAAGGCTATCGACAACATTTGCCAGCGAAGCACGCAAATACGCGGCCAATTTTTCATCTGTCGATGTGCTAATCGTTCCCCGCCCTTCTCCGAAAATTTTCTGCACTTAACACTGTTTCGCACGGCCTCCGTGGTCGGGCCATATTTGACCAAGCGGCAATGACACCACGTATGTTCCCGATCTGTGACGTCTCCGCGTGATAGCGATGATGATTCCTTGCATCATTCGTTCTGACGCTGCCGACGGTCAATTTTCACGCTTCATGAGGCATCTAAGGCTTGCCGCTTAAACACCGCACACGAAACGAATAAAAACACTTTCGTTTTAGATGCGAAGCAGCTCTTTGGCTAGCCTGTGCAACACTGTCCATCCGTGTCGCCGTGCTAACACGCCGCATCCCATTCCCTCCATCGCAGTAGTTGAAACGATGCAGCTGCACATTGACGTCACTCCCTCGCCCGCAGCAGCTGCCGGCTCCTCGCAACACACCTCGGTATTGTTGCTCCCCGCCCGCTCGCAACACTCTTCTCACTCGCTTCATCCTCTCTACTGCCCGCTATGCTCGACCGCACATTAAGTGGAAACACTCTGTCGACTCGTTTATCTGTAATAAAATTTCACGCAACCCAACACGCTCCCGTGTTTTAGCGTTTCAAAGAAACGTTTACTCAAGTAAAGCTACACCGAGTTTCACCTCAAACCGTTCTTCCAGCACTCGCGTCGACGCCTGTTTCAGCTGGGTCAATGGCGAGCGCACCGATGCTTCTTCGCATGCCATCATGGTTTCCTCCGGGGAGATGGTCCATATATTTTTTTAATTATTCTCAGGGACTTGCCCTGGCAATAAAGTGAAAGTTGCAGCATCGAATTACGCAAGTGCTACCGCCAATTAATGTACACGTCCGAAAACTGTATGCGTGTTTTCAACATTTCGAATAAAAAAAAATAACGTACATCACTTCTTCATTTGTACGAGTGAGAGTTAAGCAAGTGTTACGTTCATGAAAACCAGCAGCTGCTGATTTCCACTTATGTGAAACGCTGTGTCAGACAAAGAAACAAGCCTTCAACAATCCATTCCTTAATTGTTGCAACTTTCACGCGGACATTCTGCGTTTTCAAGTCAGCGTTTGTCTCCTTCTGGCTTTTCTGTTCATTCGGCTCAATTAACTTGCGAGAGACATAAAGTCGGTGAAACTTTGCCGTCTCCGGCTTTCTTCAACCATCGGGGAACCGTGCATATGCACACGCCTATGGTTGGTTCTTAAACAAGTCTGTATATTTCACATCGGTGCTCAGATTTTTTATTAGAAGGACTGACTCATGGTCTGGCGGTCCAATAAATATACAGACTGTAAAGAAGCACAGTACAAAGTTGGACGCAGACACGTCCCTTTTGCGCGTCTGTGGCTTTTCCTTGCGCCGCGCTTCTTTTTTTTATTCCGTTCAGCCCTTCGTGCCCGATACGTCAGCAGGCACGTGTTCAGCATGGGCTCCTTGGACCATGACGAGCCAATGTGGTTATCTTACCTCCTTCGCCATGTCTTTTAAACATGCGGAATATTTAAATATTTAACGTGCACTTAGTACACGAGCTTCAAGCATTGTCGCCTCCATCGTACATGCGACCACAGCGACTTAGATTCGATCAAGACTTTGATTTGGGGAGTTGGTACATGTTTAGCTGAAAACTGCGCAAAAATGATAAAAGGCGAGTACGTAGGAACACAGTATTCTTGCGTGCTCGTCCTTTTTTGTGCAGTTTTTTTTCCAGCTGATTACAACCTCGTGTCCTGTGGGTCAGCAGTCAGGCGCCATGACCACTACATTACCGGGGCGTGTCCCGTGGAGGGCTGCGCCACCGAGGAACAGTGCACCAACCTTCTCCTCGTCCTTCATGGCCACCTTGACGGCGTTCACGTAGAGCACCACGTGGCGTCCCACCTCACCGGACTCGGCCAGGTACTGCAGGCACTTGGAGATGAGTGCCCGGATGCGAAGCTTGTACGCGCACCGGTACACGTCCGTCACGTTCTGACATGTGATGCGGATGCTGCCCAGGTACATGTACGAGCGCAGCGCCTCGAAGGCCGAAGGAGACACGCCTTCGAGCTCGACCTTGATGCGCTGCTCGGTGCCGATCTCCGCGGGTCAAGGCGAGCGCACCGATGCTGTTCGCATCCTATCATGGTTCCTCCGGGGAGATGTCCATATATTTTTTTAATTATTCTCAGGGACTTGTCCTGGCAATAAAGTGAAAGTTGCAGCGTCAAATTAAGCAAGTGCTACCTCCAATTAATGTGCACGTCCGAAAACTGTATGCGTGTTTTCAATATTTCGAATAAAAAAAAATAACGTACATCACTTCATTTGTACGAGTGAGAGTTAAGCAAGTGTTACGTTCATGAAAACCAGCAGCTGCTGATTTCCACTTATGTGAAACGCTGTGTCAGACAAAGAAACAAGCCTTCAACAATTCATTCCTTAATTATTGCAACTTTCACGCGGACATTCTGCGTTTTCAATCCAGCGTTTGTCTCCTTCTGGCTTTTCTGTTCATTCGGCTCAATTAACTTGCGAAAGACATAATGTCGGTGAAACTTTGCCGTCTCCGGCTTTATTGAACCATCGGGGAACCCTGCATATGCACACGCCTATGGTTGGTTTCTAAGCAAGTCTATATTTCACATCGGTGCTCAGATTTTTTACTAGAAGGTCTGACTCATGGTCTGGCGGTCCAATGAATATACAGACTGTAAAGAAGCACAGTGCAAAGTTGGACGCAGACACGCCCCTTATGCGCGTCTGTGGCTTTTCCTTGCGCCACACTTCTTTTTTTTTTTTATTCCGTTCAGCCTTTCGTGCCCGATACGTCAGCAGGCGTGTGTTCAGCATGGGCTCCTTCGCCATGTCTTTTAAACATGCGGAATATTTAATGTGCACTTAGTACACGAGCTTCAAGCATTGTCGCCTCCATCGAAAATGCGACCGCCGAGACTTAGATTTGATCAAGACTTTGCTTTGGGGAGTTGGTACATGTTTAGCTGAAAACTGCGCAAAAAATGATAAAAGGCGAGTACGTAGGAACACAGTACAGTGTACTGTGTTCTTGAGTGCTCGTCCTTTTTTGTGCAGTTTTTTTTTTCAACTGATTACAACCTCGTGACCTGCAGGTCAGCAGTCTGGCACCATGACCCCTACATTACCGGGGCGTGTCCCGTGGAGGGCTGCGCCACCGAGGAACAGTGCACCAACCTTCTCCTCGTCCTTCATGGCCACCTTGACGGCGTTCACGTAGAGCACCACGTGGCGTCCCACCTCACCGGACTCGGCCAGGTACTGCAGGCACTTGGAGATGAGTGCCCGGATGCGAAGCTTGTACGCGCACCGGTACACGTCCGTCACGTTCTGACATGTGATGCGGATGCTGCCCAGGTACATGTACGAGCGCAGCGCCTCGAAGGCCGAAGGAGACACGCCTTCGAGCTCGACCTTGATGCGCTGCTCGGTGCCGATCTCGTGCAGAATGTCGCGCAGGTACGGGCTCGCCGCCATCAGGATCTCCTTGTGCGCCAGGAACTCGCTGCCCTTGATGCAGACCACCACGTCGGGCTCACCCGATGGTATCGTCTCGGACGCCATGGCGCTGCCCCAGCCGAAGGCCCACCGACGACGCTGCTGGCAGATCTACTAGGCCTCTTGTTCTTCGACACGCAATGAAGCGATGAGAGCGAAAGGTTGCGCTGTCGGTCCTTGGCTGTATGCCATTTGCCCACTACCACCACTACGCCACCGAACGAGTTCATGCAGCGCAGGATAAGGATATGAGTGCAGCAGACGAAAGTATTTTGCGGACACTGCTCACTTGTGGAAATATGTAAGAGAAACAGGCCGCTGCGTCAACACGTCTTAACAGCATGCAAGTTCGCTGGGGAAAACACCTTTTCGCACTTGTCTAATGGTTAAAAGTTATGTTATAGTAATTGTTCACTGTCACTGTAATTTTTTGCCTTAAGGGGTGGTCATCTAAAAGGGGGGGGGGGTGCAGTGTCGGCCCCATTCAGTGAATTTATTGAAAGGAGGAGCTCCTCTCCCCCCCCCCCCTCATTGAAGGGGAGCCCTGCGCACACCTATGGGCATGGGGCAAGATTATGTTACTGCCACCACCAGCTCGTTACCACGCAACCCGAAGAGGGCGAAGAAGCTAGCATCGATTTAGCCTATATACGCGATGACAATCCATTCATGGCCTATCTGCCAGAGTGGGTTGTGCCAAAATGTTGAGGAACCAACCAGTCAACCAACGACTACCGTCTCTTGCATCGTTAATGGCAGCAAGACAGCTATTTTTCTGCTTCACCAGGGCCTAATTTCACCGCAGGCAAACCGCATACTCGAAAGCAAGTCTCCGTCTTGTCGCCTTCAAGTTTATTTAATATGGGCTCCGGGCCATTTGGGCTCTACCGGGAATGAAGCCGCTCACGACGCTGCCCGAGAAATCATCTACCTCATGGCGCATCAACCGTCATCAGAGCAACTACGATCTCCCGACGAGCCCAGCAGGTTGAGGACGAGGAAGTCGAGTCCTGGAATGTCGAAGCGAAAGCATTTCTATTTGTTCGAAGTTTTATCTTTAAACCAGTTTTCCGGATTGATTTTAGGTTAACAGTCCAATACTATAAGGATCCTGCCGTCCGGTTCTTGGCTCATCCCCCTTTTCGAGTGAGCGCCATTCATGTGAGGTCATCATCATCGTCTTCAGGACGGGGTGATCACTGTAGGCGTACGCAGGGTTCCCTATTAGGTTAGGCAAATGTTCATCGCAGCACCTCACCCCCCCCCCCATTAAATCAATATATGGGGCAGGTTTTACGCCCCCATCTCTTTTAGAACTAAATAGATGCGCATACACCCCTAGCGCACGCCTATATACGACGGTCGCGTGTGGTGAAATTCTCAAGTATTACCTTAGGACAAGATTGAACTATCCTAAGTCACTAAATAAGCAGCAGTACGTCGTCAACATGGCGAGCATTACAAGCGCGAACACGCTCCACACTCACGCTGCACAGCCGCATATACCAAGACGTTTATACACCACAAGCACTAATATGTAACGCTCGCATGTCATGTTTTTTATTTGTCTGTTTTTCTGAGCCTCAAAACTGGGCAGTCCGGCTGGCCGAAGACGCCGCCAAGACCCAAGGTCGGACCGCCGCCTGAGGAAGGGGGCTCTAGTAAGGCCAGTCGCCCAGCACCCACTTCCTTTTGCTCTTTTAACCCCATGCAGCCAGGAGCAAAATTTCCTCTCTCTCTCAATCACACCTGCTGTACACGGCAGTGGAGCCTGTCCAAATCCTGTGGCGCATGCCCACCTGAGGAGTTCTGCATGATGGAGAACAGAGGGACGAAGCTGCTTAATGAAAGACAGACACCTACATGCTACGTGATAGCAACAGTTTCACTGTAGAGAGAATGAAGACAACGCTGGCCGGGTAGTGATGATAATAGCTTTTACGATTAGTGACAGTTTTCGCCGCTAAAATTTTTCTTTGTCTGTTTTTTAGCCATCCGGTTATTTGCCAATCCCTCAGCGTGAGTGTGGATCACTGCAAGAATGAGCAAGTCCTTCTCTACAGCCTATAATTTTCGGCTCATCTTTCACTGTAGTTGCACGCGCCATGTTTGAAAGTATAAGCATCATCATCACTCCAGTTTTTAAGTACGTTCTCTCCTCTTGTTAAGGTCATTTCCTACTTGGCCGATCCCTCTGAGTGGGTATGATCCATAGATGGGGCACTATCATTATCATCGTCATCGCGGTGGTGGTGTGTCAACGGCAACTGACATGGCTGGCTCGGGCTTTTGTCGCATCCAATGGAGTCGGCGGCTCTCGTTGGCCGCGGCTTGCTTGGCCACACTGTTGGTGCTCGCGTGTCTTGCCTCAGCCTTCATCCTGCCGCCTTCGTCCGGTAGGTTGCTAAGCTGCGCTGGCCGTAGGCAATCGCATGATCAATGGGGTGCGGGGGGATGGTCCTCCCTAATGAAGTAAAGGGAGGCCCATGTAATTTTACCTTATCTAATGATTTGTCATGTTATTTTTTGTTTTCTTGGTTTTCCATTTTTTCTTTTGTTAGATGCGAAGCGTCTTAGGGTCGAGCTCAATCCGGCGTGCGGCGTGACCATCCTCAAGCCAGTTGCGCGACCCTCCCGCTCACCCCTCGCCCCGCCGCGGTGGTCTAGTGGCTAAGGTACTCGGCTGCTGACCCGCAGGGCGCGGGTTCGAATCCCGGCTGCGGCGGCTGCATTTCCGATGGAGGCGGAAATGTTGTAGGCCCGTGTGCTCAGATTTGGATGCACGTTAAAGAGCCCCAGGTGGTCTGAATATCCGGAGCCCTCCACTACGGCGTCTCCCATATTCATCAGTGGTTTTGGGACGTTAAACCCCACATATCAATCAATCAATCAATCAATCAACCGCTCCCCCCTCCCCCCTCTTCAGAATCATTGGCGAAGGCAACGAAGCGCGTCCTCAGCAATGCCGCGTCCACACCACCCCTGCGCATGTGCACCCCTTGCCTCCCTATTTCTCCTCTCCTACGCTCCCCGTGGAAACGCGTTCCACGTTTCCGTGAGACGGACCGCGCCTACGTTGTTTGTGGCTATTGACCGTCGGCCCCATCTCGCGCGATGTGCACCCCCACCTCTCCCCCCCCCCCCAACCCGTGCAGCATCGTATCGCGTCATGGTCCCCTTCAGCGGGAGATCTGGAGTAATTTTTCTCTTTCGTTCTTTACGTCATCAAAAATTTGATGGTGTCCTATTATTGTACTGTTGCAATTGCATGATCGAATGTCAAGCTAAGTGATGTTAAGTGTACTTTGTATGCTTTATTTTTTTTCCTGCACTGCTGTACAAGGCACGTCTTTATTTTGTACACATACGCGAAAAAAAAGTGTATGCATCTATGTAGTCGTAGATACATTAGTTCTTGTGGTCTGCCATCTGACGACTCTGCCCTCCACGCCCAATGAGGCTTTAGGAGGCCAGTTCTGTATTGCTATGCTGCTTTATCAAAATGCCTAGATCATAATTATTATTGTTATTATTATCACTACTACTAATAGTCGGTCAGGACTTTCACGTGAATTGTTAATGCGCAGAATTGTGGCTACGCGCATTTTTTTTTTTTGACGACAATGGCGACGCCCCCCAACTTGCATTCAAATGGCTGTTTACTTTCTACTTTGACCAAGCGAGCCGGTACCAGAGGTTGATCTTTACCAGAGGTTGACCAGTGACACCATGTGCTTTGCGCAGCGGGTCCTGCAGAAGCGTTGGTGCCAGCTCACGCGCCATCCGCGGCAGCGCGGCCGTCGAGGCGACCTCCGCTGCACTTCTGCACCTCGGCGCAGTGCCAACAGGAAGGTATGCATCGATCGAAGCGGCGCGTTCTTGGAATGCAAAGCAGTGGTGAGGGCTGCACAAGTGGAGGGCGCTAATCGGCGACTTCTTCCGTGGTCGCGTTCCAATGGCGAAACTAATGTGGCTGGGAGAGGCAGTTATGTATTGCACATACTTCTTTTAAGGGCTGGTTATATTTTAGTGTACACGTGTTCCATACACCTCAGCTGTCTGAAACTTGGAACATTGCCAAAAGCCGCTCGAGCGGTTCAAGGAAGACTGAATAGAACTAACTCAAACTCGGACGCCACGCTATTTTTTTAAAACTTTATTTCAAAGCATGATTTATTAATACTTCCGTGTATACAATACAACCTATATTAAACACGCAAAACGACCACCATGGTCTGGTTTGTGTCCCCCTTGTGGTTTTTCTGGATTTACGCCACTGCACATGTCTCGTAAAACTGTAGGTGCAGCGGCATGCACTTTCAGAAGACAACGTACACTACAGCCGAACCTCGTTAAACGAAGCAGCATACTGACAATGAATAAGTTCGCTGTATGCGATATAATTTGCATGGTACAGGTCGAAAATGCCTTAAGAAATCACGGATCAGCCTCGTGCGACAGCTCTCATAGATAATAAAAAAAACGCATTATTCTAAGCTTCAAACACACGATGAACGATGCAAGTCGTGCTTGTCTCCTTGTGACATTTCATACATTTGGTGGTGCAGCGATATCGACAAATGTGCAATTGTTGCACCATATGACGTACGATTTCAGCAACTTTCCCAAACAATTTTTCAAAATATCTAGAGCATTTTTAATTGCCTTTAATATTTATTTAGCTTTTCATGCTACCTTTCGAGTTGAGCCCTTCGCGCGACGCAACTGTTCCTTCGTTACAACCGATAATGCGGTGGCTCTGGCATAGTTGTTTTAGTTATTAAAAGAATAAGTGTATTTGAAATGAAGCGAGACAAACCAGAGTTTGTGTTTAGTTCGCAATAACCAATAATTCGCGATATCACGGTTCTGCTGTACTCCAACGAGACGCAACGTTTAGCGAGAATTTCACTGAAGTACCAATGACCATGGACGTCGGCAGGGGGGTACAAAAAGGGCACCGCCCCCCATCACTTGACTCAACACAAGTTGCACCAACACTTCCCCCACACACAGACGCCATGCGAAACAGGTTTGCACCCCACAGATCCTGCCGACGACCATGCTAACGACGACTCGGTCGATGCGATATACAAGGCGTGTCAATGTAGAGAGAGAGAGCAACTCTTAATTAAAGCAGGTTCAATACGTCCTCGCTATGCGAGACCGATTGGGGCTACAAGCTGGCTCTTTCAATGTCGCGCAGGACAGCGGCTGAATAGTTCGATCGCGCGGGACCAAAACCCATGCCACGACCCGTACCGCTACGCATGTGGACACGCAGCGCACAGCCAAGTGGCAGACTTACGAAGGGGAGATGAGCGTCGCCTCAGCGGTGAGCATAACTCTTAAATGTATTACTTTTTAGCGCATTGTCTCCGAAACCAAGCAATCGCTGCCTACGATGCTGTTGTCTAAAAGCTAGTTCGCACCTGCGAATGCACCAAATGGTCTGCCTAAGACTTTCGGAACGACACATACTTCCGCGAGTGTTGAAGATTGGGCGAGTTGGTTCGTCGTACTTGAACTTGTATAGCGCATTACGGGGAAGAAGAAATGGCCGAGCAGACCGACACAAGAGGACAGAGCGCTCTGTCCTCTTGTGTCGGTCTGCTCGGCCATTTCTTCTTCCCCGTAATGCGCTATACAAGTTCAAGTACGACATACTTCCGATGTTTGCCTAGTTTGAGTTTGTTGCTCTGTAATATATCTGGCGCATTCCTTCAGCGACTACATGAATGGGCTCGACGACGTCGCACGGTACAGGTGCAAACAGAAACTGCAGTAGCGAGGATGAGTTGCCTGATCTGCTGGATAGGGAAGTTCAGCTTTTTAGTTGGTCGCACGGTCAAGTAGTCGCAAAGCAGCTGGTCGTAAACGGTCGGAAATGGACATTCGGTCGCAAAGCGACTGTCTTGGCTCCGTCGCTCACCACTTGATTTTCCACTCGCGAGAGCAAACCTCTGGACCAATCAGGCGCGCCGGAACAGGACGGCAGCTTATCTTACGGGGAAATATAGCGATCAATCAACCAAAGGACCAAGCAGGATTTTGTACATGTACTCCACAATAGACCATATTCATACTATCAATCAGGTAATAGAGATATGTGCGGAATACAACCAACCCATATACCAGCCTTCATAGATTACGAGAAGGCGTTTGACTCAATCGAGATATCAGCAGTAAAGCAGGCACTGCGGAACCAGGGCGTCGAAGAACCCTACATAAACATACTGAAATAAATCTAGAGTGGATCCACAGCCACCATAGTTCTCCATAAAAAAAGCGACAGAATCCCAATAAAGAAGAGTGCAAGGCAGGGAGACACGATCTCTCCAATGCTATTCACCATATGTTTACAGGATTTTTTCAGGGTGCTAAATTGCAAAGAGGTAGGGATAAGAGTTAATGGAGAGTATCTTAGAAACCTGCAATTGACTTATGACATTGCCTTGATGAGCAACTCAGGCGACGGATTACAGCTCATGATTACTCAACTGGACACGGAAAGCAGGAAAGTATAGCTCTGAAAATTAATATGCTCTAAACTAAAGTAATGTGCAGCAATCTCGGCAGAAACCAGCACTTTGCGATAGGTGGAGAGACGCTGGAAGTTGTAAAGAAACATGTCTACTTAGGACAGGTAGTAACCGCGGAGCCAAACCATGAGAGTGAAATAACTAGAAGAATAAGAATGGGGTACGTGGATCACATTCGGCAAGCATTCTCAAATTATGAACGTTAATATGTCACTAACCCTCAAAAGGAAGGTATATAACAGCGGCATCTTGCTGGTACTCACCTACGGAGCAGAAACCTGGAGGCTTACATAGAGGGTTTTGCTTAAATTGAGGATGATGCAGCGAGCGATGGTAACAGAAATGATGGGTGCAACCTTAAGAGACAAGAAGCGAACAAAGTGGGCCAGGTAACCGGGATTAAGGATATCATACTTGACATCCAGAAGAAGAAATAGGCATGGGGTGGGCAAGTAGCACACAAGATTCCCAGAGAAGGCAAACGCATGACGGGGAGACAGATAGTTGGGTGGACCAATGAGAATAAAAAGTTCGTAGGTATAACGTGACAGCATAAAGCACAAGACCGGGTTGATTGGCGGATCATGGGAGATGCCTTTGCCCTACAGCGGGCGTAGTCAGGTTGATAATAGCGATACCGCCACAGTGAAAAGAAATATTCCTTATTCCGTGAATTCTTTGTCGACGGGTGCGAAAGTCGGTTGCATCGAGTCACTTTTTGGTCGCCGATATCAAAGGGTCTCGCAACCGTTGCTGTATTCGCAGTCGCAGGTGTGAATGAGTGAAATGAACTATTGATGTTCTGGCTTTCAAAACTGACTTTTTTTTTTTTTTGGTGATCCGACAATAGACATTACCCCATACGATTCGACTTACAAAGTCTCCCAGGAAGTGCAGCTTTAACTGAACAGAAGTTCATGTGGCGTGCTGTACGCAGCGCTGCTGTCCTCGACGGTGGTGCCGCGGAACAGGCAGACCGTGGCCGAGAAAGCAGCCGCCCTCTACCAAGGCTGCCTCAATACAGGTACGCAGACATGTTGATGTGTGGCTGGCAGTACAGCTGCGCCCCACTTCCGATAACATAAGGTGGCTGTTCGTGCACGTTCGTAAGACAGGATATAAACTAAGAGCGTACATAAAGGGAAGACAGTGAAGAAGCTTGCATCAGCCATGGTATGTCTCAAGCCTTACTAATCTATTATTCTATTCGACTAGTCGATCTTGTGTAAGTATATATATCACTCTTTTTTCGCTATGTCGCCTTAAATCCTCTCTAATGCGCTCTGATCAACACCCCTCTCGATTGCGGATGGAGGAGGGCGTTTTACCGAGGATAAATGAAAATATGGGGTTTCAAAGGCGTTTTAACAGGTGGGCCCCTCCCCAGAAAGAAATGCTTGCTACGGGCCTTACTCTGATATAACTATCTATCGACGTCACATACCTGGGCTTGCGCAGAGCTGCTGACGGCGCAGAGCCGCGACGCCTGGTGGTCGGTGGCGCAACGTTTGGGTGTGTCCCAGTTTCCACTGCCGCTGGACAAGGAGCCCCCCGTAGCTCCTGAACAGCTAGCGGGACACCTGCTGCGGCATCTCGGCCTGGGACCCCTGATCAACCTTCGGCTGGCCGCCCCGCCGGGGAACCGCTCGGCAGTTGCCATATATGTGAGACTTCTCTTAATTGCTGCTTTTGTGTGCTAATTCGAACTATCTAGCTCCGATAATTTACAACAGTGCACATGATGTTTAAGGGACAGGAAGAGAGCACAGTAGGACTGGGAATAAACGAGTGTTAAGGACATCACAGTCGGAATAAAGAACAAATTAACATGGGCAGGGCACATATTATAGTGCGTAGGCAGGATAACCGCTGGACAATAAGGGACTAGATTAAAAAAAGAAGAGGTCACGTGGAGTAGATAGAAAGTTAGGTGGGCAGATGAAAGTAAGAAGCTTGCGGGCTATAACATGTCAACAGTAAGCACAGGACCCGGTTTGATTGGCGGAACATGGGAGATGCCATTGCCCTGCAATGGGCAATGACACGATGGCATACATTGGGTCGAATACGTTCTACATTATCCATCCTAACGTGTCACTAAAACCCCTTACCAAGAACTATAGATGCATCTATAGTTCTAAAGACACAAAAGCCAAAAGCGTCCCCCCCCCCCCCCCCCCCCGTGCACCTGCCTAGAAGCCCGCATATGAGCCTACATACGCCTTTGCGACAATTTGGCACGGCAGAAATACTCGCCAAATACTCATTTACTCAGCATATGGAAATCTTTAGCCAAGCAAGACACATTTCTGTCCACCCTCCAAGGTGGTCTGGTGCTCGACTGCTGACCCGCAAGTTGAGGCATTGAATGCAGGTTGCGGCAACCGCATTTTCGATGGAAGTGGAGATGCTCGCGGCTCACGTATTTAGACGCATGTTAAAAAACCCCGGGCAGGCGGTTGAAATTTTCGGAGCCCTCCCCTATGACTCTTCTCATAACCATATCATGGCTTTGGGTCGTTAAACTCCATTAATTATTAGACAGCTTTCTGTTGAAATGCCGATATATTCCAGTCCAAGATGCAGACATATTTTACGTGGTCGATGTTACAGGTGCACCCTCCTCCGGCGGCTGCCAGCTGGCACTGGAACGGGACAGCGTCGGCGCTGCAGGCGCTCACCCAGCGGTCTCCGGACGGCCAGCTGGTGCGGGCCCTGGTTGAGCTGGACCGCACCGTGGCGCGCGTCGCGGTCAAGGCCACCCCTCCAGTGGCCACCTACGTGCCGCGCTACCACACCGTGCGCATCTTCAGCCTTCCACAACACGCTAAGGTAATTGATATGTCTCTTGTAAGCATGACCTATGTAAATGGGATGTGTAAATATTTCCGACGTTTAGCGGTCCCATTTACTGACATTCTAACTGTACTAGCTGGTGTTGGCTAAATTGTGGCTAACGTCAGCTGTATCGTAAAGCAATAAATTTACTGCAACGGTAATACTGTTTTAACAGCGAAGCTGTTCTACGTCAAGCTGCGCCACTTATAACAATATATTGTAAATAACAATGAGAAACTGCTGCACCGTCGACTTTTGTATGTTTTCGATGATAAATATCCCGCTTACAGCAATGTCTGCCTGTCCCCTTATCGGTTATAACAATGGGTTCTGGCTGTTGAGTGTACGTGCTGAGAGGCAATGAAACGCGAAATCCTTGGAAAATAAATGTACCAATGAGAAATTCAAACTGCTCAACCCTCGTTCACAAACCCACAACCCTCAGTGCACCTTCGGATTTGCTACATGCTTTGATTTATAGATATGTGGGGTTTAAAGACCCAAAACCACCATGTGATTATGAGAGACGCCATAGTGGGGGGCTCCGGAAATTCTAACCACCTGGAGTTCTTTTAACGTGCACCCAAGTGTGAGCACACGGGCCTCAGCTTTCTCGCCTCCGTCGAAAATGCAGCCCTCGCAGTCGGGATTCAATCCCACGACCTGCGGGTTAGCAGCTGAGTACCATAGCCACTAGACCACCGCCGCGGGGGCTATATGCTTCACTGCACAGCATAGCGTTGCGGCAGAGCTGACTTGAAGTGCGCTACACCGCAAGAGCGTTGGTGGCTTCTGTTATAACATGTAATTTCAGTAAAAAGCCGAGACTTTGAAGAGTTTCAGCGTCTGAAACCTCATATGTTGTCATACACTGCCTATATGGGGCTTGTGGTGGTCTCATGAAAGCATCCCAATTTTCAAGAGCAAGAGAATAACCGTGCAAAAACACACCCACAAGAGAGAAGAAGACACGGACACATAGGCACACAGTTCGGAAAATCGGCAACTTTGCTGTCGTCGAGACTGATGTGTTGTTTATTTGTCTATCCTGTTCAATGTTATAGTTTCCGCCCAACAGCCTGTCATCTCTCTATTTCCCTTTTTTTTCGTGAAAGCCGTTTAAAGATATTATCGGTTACAACAACAAAAGTTTTGTGTCACTTGAGCATTGTCATAAGAGGATTCAACAGTAAATAAATGAAACAGAATAATAATAATGATGTCAGAGAAGAAGATAATGCTCGAGGTGCTGCTAAATTATACTAATGATCGTGATAATGATGCTAAAAATTATGATGAGTATGATGACGATGCTCTAAATGAGACTAAGAGGTCTTAGTTTATATATCATAACACACACTTGTGCGCTTACTGGTTCGGCTGACTGACATTTTCACAATGTGGAACTGGCTGTTTTCTTTTTCTATGTAATTGAGGTCTTTCAACGTATTGTAAAGAGTTCACCCCGTGTGTGTGTGCCTTTTATGCCGTGCTTTATGGTGGTGTTGATAACTTGTGCACACCTCTGCATGCAGTGGCGCTGGCGGGAGGTGTTCTCGGCCCTCCTAGAGGACCTGGCGGCACCCCAGACAGTGAGCGTGGTTCTCACGGCGCCAGGCTACACAGAGGAGGCAGCGCCGCTGCTGGCTGACGCCGGGCCAGCGGCGGTGTACAACTACCTAGCCTGGCGGCTGGCGCTCGAGCTGGCCCCGCTTCTACCCGTGCTGCCGGCCTCAGTCGCACTGGGCGGCGCACAGCAACGCACGGAACGGCGCTGCCTTCGCGAGCTGCGAGCCCTCATGGAACACGCAGCCACTGCGCTGCTTGCGCCCCAGCTGGGACCACAGGTGAAAGCGCTTGTTTACCAATTCATGGGAATGTGACGAACTACGTAGGCGTGGGCATTGGGGGAGGTGCCAGAGAGGGGGTCAAGTGCACCCTTTGCGTTGTGCCGACATTCACGGGAAACTTCCCATTGCCAATGTCCAGAAAGTCAGGGATCAAGCCACTGTAGGAAGCACGTCATCGCTTCATTTTTCATCCATTGTGAAGCGTGTTGTCTTTTGGACTTGACTAACGGGGCAAGGGATGCTGCGTTAGAGCTTTGCCCCTCCTGATGGCTAATCGGGAACCCTGCACATACCCATGACAAACTGTGTGGCGACACTGTCCAGTGGAAGCTACGGATGGCATCAGCTGATGACTCATTATCGCCAATAATGAACAGTGGAAGGAAGGATGTGGATTGCACGGTTGTCACAGTTCTTTGGCACTCACAGACATTTTAAATTTATGCAGAATGTTACGTGAGCCCATGTTTCTGAATTCCTTTAATATGTTTGATGATATTTAACGTCAAGTGTACGACTAAATGAATTTTTTGTAACATTTTGGAATGCCGATCATGGACTTCCACCATCAGCGCCATGTGGGAAGTGGTAGGAGGAAAGAGCGTTATCCTAATTACATAGACACGCTAGTTTGACTACTCGCACAGCATTTCCTAAAAATATCCGATGTTCACGGTGGCAAGCTCAGCCTCGTGCTGCCCTCTTGATATTGTTATGGTTCGGTTACTACAATGCCACATGTCACTGCCATGTTGCTTGTTGTGTACAAAACGAGCAATACCAATACACCGTACTTCAACTGAACCGGGTTGAACTCCACAAACTCAGCGTGTAATTTGTTGCGTGGAGGTGTCTGCAACGTGTTTTGCTCTGTAGCTTTGAATTCAGCCATTTCGTTTGTGTAAATGTTGTCGGTAGAGTTGATGACCATTTCTCACTCTGAACAAGATATGGCGGTAGCGTGGAGCTCAAATAGGTCAAACCAGTCCTGTACGGGTCCGTCTTTGCTGATCCGGTGTACTTGGCAACGTTAAGGTCAGCTGATGGTTCTATCAAGGTGCTGGTCACTGTGTACTAAAAGCCGCTGGTTCGGTAGTCCATGTATTGTTAGAGTGTCTTGCGGAGAACTTTGTAAATGATGTGCGTCTGATGGAGGGGCTGGCAGGTCTCAATCCTGTCGGCTTGTGTGGCAAAAATGTATTTAGTGCCTGATTGCACTGAGGTCATTGATTGGCATGTGCGGGGTACTTTATTGTGTGTGCGAATTGGGTGGGAAGTTAAGGTTTCTATACCCCCTCCCCACCCTTTTTTTAAGAAAGTCCAAACGAGACCGATTAAGCTCCTCTATGAACCCCACCTTCCCAGTGGGGGAGGGGGTAAAGATGGCAAGGCGGGTGCAGAGTTCCCCTTGAGGGGGAGAAGGTTCACTGTAGCGCCCCCTCTTTTTTATTATATCATAATATGGGGCACACACAGCCCCCAACAGCTGGAGAGCCCCCGGCCCACCTTCCCCTATGGAAATATATGTTCTTGGAATAAAGAACATTAAGGCTTTTCTGCAGTCACAATGGCTCTTTTCTGGGTACGTGGTCTGTGCATGCGCGCCGGCCTTGAGGAAGCAAGCGCATAGGACGCGCCATGATTTTTGGTGACCGAAACATGACGACACGTGTGGACAAAGTGACATCTGATGCCGCAAACATGCCAATGTTTTCCCCAAAGAGAGGCGCAAACGCAGCCCTCAGAGAGTGCCTACCGGCTCCTCGCACAGGGTAATTTTGGAGCCCAAGAGCCACCAGTTTTGATTTCGGTGGTCTTGACTAGGAGTGTTGTTCCAACTAGAAAAAGGCCCATTGTCGAAAATTTCCATGAACATGACCCTACACATTATACAATGATAAAACAGATCCAGTTCTGTCTAGACATGCTCCCTCCCCCCCCCCCCCCTCAGGGGATGAGATGATGTCCCTATTCCTTTCACACTCATGCATTTATCTGAGGTCAACGGAAGAAGCAGGAGTCCATGCCATAGGCGTGGGCAGGGTTCTCAATTAGGGGGAGGGCAATGCTCCATCTGAGCGGCCCCTTTACCCCGATAGTCAAGACCTAGTTACCCCGATAGTCAAGACCTAGAGACATACACCCCAACAAAGAAATGATAATGAACTTGTAACAAGGAACAAAGAGGAGGGGGAGAGAGAGTAATTTGTAACATCACCATCATTGCCGTTTATCATCATCACCATGTCACCAGCCGCCTTGCCACGCCTCTCGCGCCGTTCATGCTCGAGGCGCGAGTCAGAGAGAGAGAGCTCAAGAACCTAGCGGACTGGACGCCGGCAGCTGCTGTTGCTATGCTTCGGCAATTCGAAATAAAGTGGCGACATCGACAGGCCACGTCGACTACTTTCACATCTCGCCTTCCTCGACACAAACTAAAGACGTGCTTCTCACAATCGCCTCCCTTTGGTGCTTGGCTTTCCGGGAGCTGAAATGTGAACAGTTATTGGCACACAACATATGGAGTCTTCTGCATCCATCACAGTTAAAAACCTTCATGGCCATATCCCGACTCTTTATACGCATGACGCAAATAGGTCCCACTAAGTAACAGTAAGTGATAAATTTTGCCCCCCGACACCTACCCTCAGGTCATTACGGCGGCGCCCCACATGTGAACGTTTATGATGAATCACGCTGTGGCGCAGGCCCGTACGGCGGCGCGCGACGTGCTGGCGTCGGCAACGGACCAGCTGAAGCGCCAGCTGGTGGACTACATGTGGATCGCCGAGCCGGTGAGCCAGCGTGCCGTGCAGAAGCTGAACGCGCTGCAGGCGCACCTCTTGTACCCGCCTTTCGTTGAGGACAAAATGGTGCTCGAGCAGATCTACAGGCAGGTGCCCGACGTGGGTGGCGGCGACGGTCCCGTGCTGCTTGACTGGTTCCGCGCACGATCCGCAGTGATGCTCAAGCGATGGAAGGCGCTCGCTGGCAAAGGACTGCCCCCACTGTGAGTGCATTGGATACTCACGCATGCGTACCCATATACATGTCTGAGAGAAAGTAACAGCTCAGTCAATGAAGTGATCGAGATTCAATGAATCCTGCTTTTTTAATAGGTGAAACTCACGTATGTGCATCTGAGAGCGTTTCCTGGGGCATCACTTTTCCCTCAGTGCAAAAGCACTTATTGTTATCAATAGAGCTTAGATTTTTTATTTTTATGTTATGAAGTGAAATTCATGTTCTTTATAATTTCGTATGACAGTTTTGAGTGATATTTGCTGTAGTTATGTTTGGGGCCAGTGAACGATGGCCAGTCGGTAGATGGCATCTGATGAAAGGGAGAGAATCTGTGCAGATGGGTCACTAGGACGTTTGCCCCTGCACACGCCATCGTTGCCAAACACCATGAGCTTTTGTTCACCACATCTTAAGCTGGTGAGTCACCCACACGGAGGAAACGTTCTCACCGTGAGACGATCTGAGAAACAAGTGGTCCCTGTCGTGACACCCTTCCCCACAGGATAATGCCGCGAAGTGCTGTCTAAGTAATTGTGGAAAGGCGGCAGCATCTTGCATACAAACTCCAGGCAGCCAACCGGCTGTCTAGGCAGCCTTGTTGTAATGCAAAAGTATTTTTTAAGCTGTACTTAGAAGAAATGGTGGACTTTTTCGTTAGCTGATTTCCTTTAAGATGAGAGCAGCAAAGTGTGGGAACGCATAGGCGGAGACACATCTCTGAGGAAAGGAGGGTAGTTTGCTACATTGGAGGACCATCAAGAAGGGGTTCGTCGCACAAGGCGGTCTCAGATGAGGTGGGCGAGGAGGGGGGAGCTTGGTACTCCACATCAAGAAGTGTGGACAAAGGTCGTGCTTGGCGCAGACTCTGATCCAGGGATTCGAGAGGTGGGTGTCGATGTGTGCAGTATACTATAGGCTCGGCAGGTAACGCCTACATGGATACAGCCCTCTTACTGTGGGGTCAGTTTTGTGGCCACACTGGCCCTTGTAAATAAGTGTCAGCGTGTAAATAAACTCAAGTTTGCCAGGAACTGAGTAACGGGGCCTGTCCAGTCCTTCAACGTGTCGTCGTGGTCATCCGAATTATCGAGATTACCTTTATCATCCCAATATTAATTGCAGTGCTCTATTTAGGAGTTTTTTTTTTTTTTTTTCAAGGAAAGGTGTTATGAGATCGTAACGGGGGTGCCGCAGCTATTCGCCGCCGCCGGTGCCTGTCCTCACCATCGCACAAAGTAATAAAAAACAACATGCAGGATGGAACGGGGATCGAACCTCCCTGTGCACTGAGCCATGCCAGTGCTCGAAACTCCAGCACACAATAAAACAGAAGCATCATGTCAGAAAGGAACCACATCAACATACATAATACAATGGGATAGAAGACTAATATAAAAACCAGGCTTTGCAGAAGGCGAATTGTGTAACCAGACTTCACACAATAAGAACTGTGTAATGTGTGGGTTGTTGAATGCTTCTAAACCATTACAAAGAGCTCAGCCATAAGTCACCGTAATCAGTCACCAAAAAAATAGAGCAGTGGGTACCTAGCAAATGTATTAGTAGCCCCAAGAGAGTTTGCAATGGGTTCTCGAAATGGCACTCTTCCATCTTTCTCTGTGACTGTGCTGCGCTTTCCGCGCAGGCCTGGTGCTTTTTATTTCCACAGTTTTCAGCTAGGCGGATTTCTTTTTATGCAGACCGAAAAGTGGCACAAGTACTTGTAGACTTACATTAAGACAACTAGTATCACGTTGCCCAAGATGCCAAGAGTTCTGTGCGCATCAGCGTTCCCCATTTGAAGGGGCAAGGTGTGCATTCTCTGAGGTGAACATTCAATGCTGCCGCTCCCTTCACCATTTCATCGCGCCAAACCCCGGTATAGTAGGTTATGTTGGCTCCAGACATATATGGTCCTTGAGAACAAGGCAGAGCACATGGCCTCCAATACGTGCTCAATAGGCAGATCACGCATGCGCAGTCAAAAGTGGCAACGTGCAATGACGAGGCAAATGTACCTGGCATATGGACCCCCACTCCACCCCATTTGCATTAACTGTTGTGCATGCGTAGTGAGGCCTTTGAACTGAGTGATATATCGTCCTTTCCAGTGCCTTTTAGTGGGTCGTCCACTTTGACTCTTTTATGAAAGAGCGCCACTCGTGATCATACACTTATATGCATGAATAAATACAAAAACATATGAAGCATGCAGCACTGCTACCTGTGTTTTGAAACCATGCAACATGACCAATCGAATATGTATGCACTGCCCGCAGGTGGGACGTACCATACATGGAGCCTGCCATCCACTACATGGCCGACTCGAATGAGCTAGGTGGGTAATAGATGCAAGGGGTTGAGGGAATATATGGTCGAACCTTGCTCCAACAAAATATCATCGGGACCAGGAATTAGTTCCTTATATCCAACCTTTCTTGGAACAGCAAAAATAAAAATACTCTTTAAGTAATCGGCAATCTGTCTCGCACTAGAATTCTAGATGCGAGAATAATTATTATAAGCTTCCAACCAACTATAAAACAAGGTGTAATCCTTGCATGTCTCCGTAACTGTGGCATTTTAATCTAAGTAGATCAGAACACGAGGTGAAACTACAACAGAACACAGTCACTTTGACAAAACACGACTGAGTTCACATTTATTTCAATCATATTCATTTTTTTCTTGTGTTGAATGATTAATATTTCCCCAACCTTTTTAACCACACATTTACCAGAATATTTAGCGTCGCAAGTAGCTACTATAGACTAAAGAAATGTCTATCAAAATTCATGTTGCGCTTTTCAGTTATCTAGCTTTAGCCTGATGCAAACAAATATTTCATCGTTGCTGCCGACATCACGGCAGCTATCACATGTTTGGATTAGTTATAAAAGGAACAGATGTCTTCGTGTGATGCCTGACCAACAGAATTTGAATCTGAAATAAAACTGCGCAGAAGATGGAACACAAGTAGAAAAAGACAGTACAAGTGCTTGCTGTGCAACCAAAGTTCAAATCTAGTTCGCTATAATCTATTATTTGCTATATCCCCTTCAGGCACGAATTATGATGCACTGCCTGCAAATGTGTCAAACTTGCATGACATGATTTCAAGGCACTCAGCATTACATTTCAATAAATAAAATGAAGGAATGTGCCGTATTGTGCTTGTCTCAATAATAATTATTAATTAGTATCTATTAAATACAAAATTAATCTGCAATTTCCTTGAATGCTTGTGTAGAAAAAATAAATCATAAAGCCTAAAATGGATGCACAGTTTGGTTTCCGCTGCACTCATTTCGAGCAAAAAAAAAAAGCCTCGATGTTGGTCCTGGTACGTGGCACGTCAAACGATCGTTGAATATGACAGTGTCTCCAGCAAAGTGATCCTCTGCAGCAATAAGCAGCCCAATAAAGTTAAACAACCATTAGTTATCCATCTAGGAAGCCTGTATGTGAAGTAATACGCGGTGCTTGACGCGCCTCCAAAGTTTATAAGTACAATTGTACACCTGGCGCCTGAAGGGGATACCAGTATCGACTACAACGAGGTTCAGCTGTACCTAGATACAACCTTTCATACTTATGTGTGTGAATTCGTAGTATGCATGACCTGCCATACCATTAGCTGTAGTGCAAGGTATATATTAATAGTATATTGATAACTAGTGTATTACACGAACTAAGCAGTTCGAACTCCCTATTTCATTGTTTATTTATTTATATATATATATATATATATATATATATATATATATATATATATATATATATATATATATATATATATATATATATATGAGGAAAAGGTATATGCTTGATCAAAAACTGCTTATTTGCTTCAATTGGAGACCAATTTTCATTAATCAATCGTCGATGAAAACTTCAACCAATAAACAGTTTTGGGCAAGTGTACACTTTTTTCCTATTTATCTCAAACACACGCACACACATCTTTTTTTTTTCTTTATGACATGCAGTGGTGCCAGTGGGAGTGCTCCGGGAGCCCATCTACTCGGCGCCTGGAAACTCTCTGTGAGTGACACACTATGGGTGGGGGCTATGCTGGATACAGTCGAACTCCGCCATCTTGCAAAGTTTCGTAATAGCAGCATTTTAAAGAGGTACTCGCACAACCTGTGGGATCGATTCCCATCAACCTGCGCACATCTGTAAAATATATCAACAGTGAATATGACTTGCGATGTATTTGATATGAATTTGGAAGTTTAGGAGCGTGATTGAGTCCTATACGCTGCGTTAAGCCAATTGAAGAAGACGTAGCAAGCCCCAGTCTGGAGCTACCACCGTTGATGAATGGCGAATTTTGACAATATCCATAACAGCACCCTCTATTGATGACATTACAGTGTGGCTAACATAATCTTACGCTTGCAGGCCTTTGGACTTCGCGCGTTTCGGGTTTCAGCTGGCTCGCCAACTTGCGCAGGCCGTGCTGTACCGAGGTAAATATAGTCCTGTAATATGAATACCGTATATAGTATAACTTTCAATTCATGTTGGCAATACATGCGTTGAAATTGCGGAGATGGGTTGGTGCAAAGCTTACCCCAAGAGCGAAGGTCGTAATGCTGACGAACGAGGCGGGGCGGAACAAGGCTCTTGCTCCACGAAGTGACGGCTGTAAATGGTGATGTAGGATGCCAAAGGTGAAGTGACCAGACATTAACCTACCTGCGGGTTACCACTTTCGGTCAAATGCCAGCTCACAGTCGCCATCTGCTAGCCTGGGTCGCCACACCCCTTCACTATACTGCACATGGCAGAGATTTTCGCATCCTTTCTTGTTGTCAGTCCCTCTCATTCTCTCGCGCATAGCAACGCTATCACATGGTTCCCATGAATAGATTTCAGCATGGACCAACTAGGCTGCAAAGAAGTGTTGCTCATGCACGTTTAGCTACCGCACCTGGATAGCTGCCTTCAGACCGCGAGTACCCAGGTTCGAATCTTGCTTCACTTTGCCGAGCTTTCATACTCCTTCCTATCAGAGTCCTTGCTTCAGCAGTCCTAGGCGTTTCTCTCTCCCACCCCAGGCTCCAATGTCATTTCCCACCACATCCTTCACTCTCCCTCTATTGGCCTCAGTTTCCCTTGCATCTGCCATACTTGATGGTGGCGCTCTCCCTTTTCTGTGTGCATATGTATGTCTGAGTTTATGCATACAATATGTGGTATTATTGCAAGCCAAAATCACTCTGCTGAACAAAAGCCGAATTTTCTGTTTGAGCCATATGACACATTCTCTTTTTATCTTTCCGTCATTATTATTTCCGTCAAGAAATATTATTGTGACAGTGCTAAGGCAAAATTTAGGGAGACAGATTGTTCACCATGACACAGTGCTGCGGACAGCATTCAGTGGCGCTCAACCGATGCAGTGAGAATATTTGCTTGCCACTAGGCGACACCAGCCTACGAGCAGTTCCAGAGCCACAGATATCCTCTATCAATGAAAGTTGTTCCAAAGTGCTGTAGGGTGCTTCGCTATGACTATCAAGGCACTCTCAAGGGTCCAGAGAAAAAAAGATGGAGCAGGGAGACATTACAAGTATAGGCAACTTTGCACGATGGAAACAGAATTAACTGAAACTATAATGCAAGGATACGCAGAATGTTGAATCCCAATTCAGTGTATGCAGCGACACCTTGACCGGCTCAGTAAAGCTAGGCGACTGTCAGAATCGCACTTTAAAACCAATGTCCTTGGACCTCACGAGTGCCATACAAGCCCACGAAAATGTCTTGAGATTTTCGAGTGAGCACTTCATCATCATCATCTGCCTGACTGCAAGGCAAAGGCCTCTCCCATGTTTTGCAACCAGCCCAGTTCTGCGCTTGTTGTGTCCATGTAATCTCCACAAACTTTCCAAATTCATCTTCCTTCATCCATTCATTTTCCCGTAATCTAACCTTAGCAGTTCAGGCATGAATCACAGAAAGCACGCCCACAGATTGCTAAATGAAACACTCAGCATTTTGGTGATTAACCAATGACTAGCTTTAAGCAACGGCTGTAAGAATTCAGAGGTTCACGTGGGGAAACTCCACGAGCTGACTAGTGCATGCAGATTGCCTTCGCTTAGTGTCTGGAGGATTCTTTGCAGCAACACTGCAAAGGATTTCCTTAATGGTATCAATGTCATTGATGCAATATAGAGAGCGCATGAAAATGGGAGGACATTCTAAAGCTCACCCAATTCATCCACAGCTGACCTTTTCAAGCAAAATATATAGACTGGCTAAATCAAGCTGTCACATATAGACAATACATTATTACATCACTCTATTAACACAAACTTCAATAACATTCACCAGATTTGCAGAGCCCCTTAAGATTCTGGAAAAACATTTATACAATAAACTAATTTTCAGAACCTATTGCGAGAAATATGGAACACGTTAAATAGGGTGAACAGTTAATTATTCGTAGCAAACTATTTTCAAATTAGTTTGAGTTTATTGATGCAAAAGATTTTGACAAAATGCCAAAATCGACGGTTAAAGTGAGTCATTACACGTTTTTAATGCATTAATTGTCCACTTAGAAAGCTGCGGAACCAATGTGGTCAGAGGCATGCATTTTGTCAGAATCAGTCATCTGGAGAAGGTTCATTTCAGGACCCTAATAACGAAAACTTTACGCCATAGATTGAGCAAATCAAAGCTTTCAACCAGGGCAATGTTTACTGAGAGTTCTAATTAACTTCGCTCTTTTCACAAAGTAAAAGCCTAATAGCAAATACTATAGTTTCTCATGCAAAATGTCTACAGACCATCGTTCTATATCATTGTACAGGTGCCTTCCACGACGAGTCCGGTGCCCTAAGCTTCTGGTGGGAACGCAGCAGCTTCGTGCGGCTGCGTCATGCCGAGCACTGTCTGGCACGTCACCACGCAGCCGACCCGGCAGAGGCTGTGCTTGACCAGGTGGCGTTGCAAGCGGCTTATGCAGTAAGTCAGACACACATGTTGGTTTTACAGCCTCGTTCAATTTTACTGGCCACAAAAAAAAAAGAAGAAAAAAATATATCAATGGATTTACATGCAGCTGTACAAGCAGCGGCACCAAGGCAGCGCGGGTCTCCGACTAGCTGCCCTGCCGAACATGTCAACGGACCAGCTCTTCTCGCTTGCCTTTGCCACGGTGAGCAGCCATGATGTGTGATGGAAGCAGAACCATGTTGCTGAACTCCTTTGGAGGTACACACTGAAGTTCATTGTTTCTAATGATGGTGAACCAGTCCCACTCCTTCCAGAACGATTCGTAGTGCGGGAAACAAACAAGTGCTACGTAGTGCTCAAACACACTTACTCGTCTTCTTCTGTGTCCATTTCCAGCATTGAGTTTTCTATAGAATAGTGGAAATTTCCTATATATAGAGGAAACTCTGGTGCTCGTGTCTATGGGCGCTGCATTGCACGGCGCTTCAGTGAGCTTGGGAATTATGGGTAGTACACAGATTTGTCTAATCTTCGTAATTTTGGCTCCGTTTGGGTTCGCGTGACTTGAAGCTGTTTTGTCAGCAAAACAAAACACAGCAAAAGTTGCACTTCACCACATGAATCTTTTAGGCTTACCACTTAAAACCGGGTCACAAAGTTCGTAAGGGTTCATCCTTTCCTTCGAAATGAAACTGAAACACAGCAATAAACGAAGCTAAGAGTGCGATTCGAGATGCGCAAGTACGAAGACTAGGCAAATCCATGAACTGCTCATCGTTCCTATGGTCGCTGAATGACCGCGGCGCCAGAGTTCCCTCTATTATTTAGGAAACTCAATGGTTCCCAGCACTACAAATAGTTTTGGGAGGGCAACCAACAGGCCCATATTAACGCATTCCCATTTGTTGTACACTTGTGCAATACCACAGCTATGCGTTAGGAGGGTGGTGATCACTCACTGGCGGCACTGCCCCTTGGAGGGCTACGCTTCACGGTTCTGCTTCCTTCGTTGCTGGCATAAAAAGCCCTAAACTTTGGCATGTGTGCAGGGCTTATGTGCCGAGGGAGATGAAAGGCCGAGGGCCAGGGACAGGTGAGAGTGCGCATTGTTCATCTCACGACACACGCACAGTCTTCTTTTGCGGCCACCACCAAGTCATATTTTTGGCGCAGGGTGAACCTGGCGCTTCGCGAGTGGGCGCCATTTCGCCAGGCTTTTGGCTGCCCCGAAGAGAGGCACCCGTGCGGCCTGTGGTAGCTCAGTCCAAGATAACGATCTGGTCGGGCGGAGCCCGGCTACGGCACGGCCGCCGGGCCCAGCGCCGAAGCTCGGCTGTACTCAGCTGCCGTCGAAGGCGCCTGCGAAGGAATAATAATAAGAACGATTTTATTTGAACGATTCATGCTGTGCATTCCCACTCACTCACTGGTTATAAATGCCCAGCAGCTTGTGAAAAGGCAGAAACTCCACCATGCTTCAATACAGATTAACAATTACCTACCATGCACTGCGCTCAAGTGCACATTTTGATAACAAGAAAATGATTCAGGTATGCTTTCTCTTCCTGAACATTAGCGCCTGGAACAAACTATGGAAAGGAGTTGTTCATAGCCCCAATGTAGAAGCGTTTATTACCCACCTGAGGGAAATGCATAGGTAAAGGTGTCTTTGCAATGCAGGATTATAAATGCAGTGTTTAATGCGCTGATTCCATGCTTGCAGTTGCTAATCCCTTCATGGTGTGTTCTTTCAGTCAGTCAGTCAAGAACTTCATTAAACAATCCTAAGGAACTTCAACCACCAGGGTGTCCAAGAGGGACATCCTAACGGTCACTACTCTAGGCGACGCCTGAGTCGGGGCAGGAACGTGGTGGCGTTCCGCCAGTTCTAGGGTCGTCTGGACTGCCTTTAGTTGGTTTTGGAGATTGGGGCTCCTGAGTGCTCTTTCCCAGTCAGACTCACTGGTAAGAGGTCCTCGAGGTAACGCAGTACATTGCCAGAGCATTTGTTCGAGTGAACAGTACACTTCTGTGCAGTCTGGGCATAGTGAATGTATGTCCCAGTTGTAACTGCTGAGTCAGACCCGTGAGTGGTATGATCTCGTTTGTAGCACGTGAAAGGCTACCTCTGAGTACAGTCCCGCTTGGACTCAAGCTACTCTGCAGTACATTCCTAAATAAGTGAATATTGTGGAAAACGGTGCTGCTCCACGGAAAACTTCCATGAAAAACTGGACAATTCTGAAGACTAATCTGGTTGTTTGTAGGACATAGGTGATAGGTGATACAGGTTGTGTCTAGGTGGTGGTGGTGAAAAAAACCTCAATGGAAAACTTTCATGCAATACTGGACAATTCTGAAGACCAATCTGGTTGTTTGTAGGAATTGGGGGATACAGGTTCTGTCTAGGTGGTGGTGATAAAAAGGCCAAAATTGAAAAGCAGCATTGTAGGCGGCCTTGAGACAGCCAGTAATAGTATCAAGGGTTGTCACATCCTTCACTCAAGTTATCAGCTGAAATTGTAGATCAGCCTGGTGCTGCTGTGGACTTCTCAGGTGCCGTAGGGGGCAGGCCAGCAAGCACCATAAAAAACCTCTTATAGTCTGAACTCGCGTACAAGGTGTATTTCGGGGATAGTGAATGTAACACAAAGTTTTGGCTTAATATATAGCCCGAGCAAAAGAGAAACTAGCACATTTATTCATCATCGTCTGACACGCTTTATTTCGATACTCCCTAGTCAGAGATGTCCACCCACAGCGCCTTAATCTTCGGTGTTGTCAACTGCATTCAGTTTCCGAGGTAGCCTCCCCCTTAAGATAGCAAGATTTGGACACTAGTAACAGGCAGGGTACACGGATGACAAATCAACATTTGCATTACAGCAAATAGTTGCTTACAACATTGGAAGATATTAATACGGTACTACGGGAAAGAAATTGGGGCACTACCTCCGGCAGTTTAAATCATTTTTACAATAAATAAAAAAAAATTAGAATGAAGTTTTCCTTACCTTGCTCTCCCGACATAACTTAATACATTGCTAACACCATGAGCTTCGAAGTTGGCTAGTATGAATAATATAGTCTATCCCAGATATATCGAACTCGAAGGTGATCATGAAATAGTTCGATATATTGATAATTTGAAATATAAAATACGTCCATTTAAGGGTTACCTTGACGCGCTGCGAGTCTCGGAGCGGTTTCCAAAGACTGCGCTAAACTTCCGTTTGCCGACTTTCCCAGAATATCAAAAGAAAAACACGAAATCCACTGCAATTTATTTAGCATGGAAAAAGTCTGTAAGGCTTGCTTCTTTGTCTGAGCCATTAAATTCATGAGGCCATCCTCAATATTGTTGAGGCTTTCCACATGGGCAAGCCCAGCGCCTTCTGTAGTGCCACAACAGCGGCGAATAAGGCTAAATGTCGACGCAAGCTCTGCAGCGGTACAGGGTTGCATCGAGGCATCGTCACCATCACCGTCGCTGCTCTGGTCGGCTTCATCGGCACCGGTGACGTCGGCCCCGATTTCTGCATCGGAGCAGTCCGAAACGACATCATCATCAGCGCTGACGAAATCGCTCGCTGTGGCCCCATCAGTGATGGCAGCCGGAAACGCAGAAAGCTGGCGAAATTCATCCTCGAGGCACTCTTATGTCGTCGTCTGCTACGACATTGCTGCGCTCCCAAAGTGGTCAGGTGAAGCTAGAAGGCCAGCTTTACCGAAGCAGCTCACGATTGTGGCTTGTTTGACGTCATTCGATGCGCCGGTTACCAATTGTATTGCTATGAGGAGATCAGTTTTCAGTTCGACCCCAAACCGAAGGTTGATCAGGAGCCTTTGCACCAGACGTCGCCTGTATCTGATGATGCCTTGGTCGAGAGGCTGCAGCCTCGCCGTGGTGTTGGGTGGCAAAAACTTGACTGTGATCATTTTGAGGTGGTTGACCACATAATGTGCTGAACAATTGTCTACAACAAGACAAACATTGTGGTCCGCCTTGCGGTGTATAAGTATTCTGAAGGAGTACGGCCACTAGCGTGGGTCCGGTCTTAGCGAGCTGCAGGGCACATGTTAACCATCCCCGTGGCGAAAACACGATACTGCTCAAGATCGCAACACTTCATTGCCTGCGGCAACACCAAAACCGCAGTACAGAGCCCGTTGCAAAGGCGCAGCAGGAAAGCAAATGGGCTTATCTACGCCACGAGCGAGAAGTACACAGGGTGCCGCGAGCATGTCTCCGTGGTTAAAGTGATTCACGGAGACACTGGGACAAAGGCCCGGTTGCTCGAGCGAGGGCAAAGGTGCTCGCATTTGATTTGGAGAGATAAGGGTCGGTGCATTTGACCATGCACTAGGACACCGTACCGCTCTTCGGCCTAGCGTTTGGAAGGGGGGGCGACATAAGGTAAGCGTTTGCCACGAGCGCAAGGCGCTGTTGACGAAGTCCGAACGAGCCCCAAACGAAGGGAGCTGACAGACGGAAAAGAAAAGTGTGCTTACGCCCATGTCGTCCCCGGAGAGGTCTTTCTCACTCCCGACGCGCGCGCGAAACCTCTTGGGAGACTGTGCACGCAGCGCCACAGTCGACATCCGCTACCAAGTGAGGGGTTAAGCTTCACTCCTCACTCTCCCAGCGTGGCAGACCATGGAGGAAGGGAGTCATGTCGGGACATAAGAACAGAGAAAGAGGTGGCAAAGTCCGCACAAAGGCAGCGAGCTAGCCTCAATTCCCACAGCCTTCTCCAATTCGGCATCCCATGCACGCATTCATTCGGAAAAGAGGTCCCGCATCATCCATGCCTTTTGTTGAACGCGTATCGGACCGACTCCTCACGTTCTTGAAGCATCGCGTCAACTTGCTCTTGCCGATAATGAACGACCGCAGCTTGCAAGAGCCATCCATGTTCATCGCGAGCGAGATCGAGACGTGCACTTTGCTAATTTTCCGTCCATGACAAAAGGTCCCTTTAAGATCCAAAGTCTTGTTTGGCAAAATTTGCCTAAAGAGGGCCGCTTCGTTGCCATTGTATATCTGACGGCGAAAAGCTGTCTTGAATGTTCGGCCACTCTTCGGAGAGCCACCTTTCTATGTCTTGGCTCTTTGTCACGCCCCTTTCGGCAGAGAGGGTCTTCCCAATGATGCCATGGCGATTCTTAAAGCGTTGCTGCCAACTGGTGCTACCAGTAAAGTCGTCCACTCCCAAAGCTACCCCTTCCCCTTTTCCATTAGCACCGGGCTATCAACGGGAATGTTCCTCGCCCCGGTTTCCAAAAACCATGCATACAGCACCTTTTCAAAGTCGCCATACGCAAGAGCATGCACACGACAAGCTTTAGAACGGCAGGACTGGGCAGCATTGCCTTTAATCGGCTTTGTTCCAGAGTATCGTGCTCAATGTGCTCCGAGGAATGCTGAAAGCTTCTGCAACCGATTCTTCTTCTCTCCACTCGCCGAATAATGGCGGTTTTGGTTGCGAAGTCTAAGTTCTTATGCTTCTTCGCGCCCATGGCTACCAGGGCCAAGAGATGTCGCGCACAAGTCGGAAACTTGAGAGCGGCGATTCAGCGACAAGCCAGCACAACACAAACAAGAGAGCAGCGGTTGAAGCGGGGTCCTGCTCCTGTTGAAACATGCTCTCGGCGGTGGCAATGCTACTTAGGCTTTTTGAAACAAGCAGAAAAAAAAAAAAAAAAAAAAAGAGAGAGAGAGAGAGAGAGAGAGACCGCCAGGGGCGTACCATTCGCAAATGCATGGCCTTCGTGATGTGAAATAGCCACTGTTGCATGGGGCGCCGATAGAAACAGATCTGAAAGACCTATGCTTTTGGGGACTGCATGCCAGGGTGCGGGATTAGCTTGAGAATGCACATCGTGCCGAAGCCGCCGGTGCGGACGATCGTGTTTTATTTGGTGCTTCAAGCTGTTGGCATACTTATTAAAAAACATTTTACCACACCTTGCAAGCTGAATACCGCAGCAGACAAACAGGTGCGCTCGCAAGCGCTGTGCAAACTTATTGAACCAACGCAATCACATTCTCGATGCGCGCGCAAATGATAAGGGTCCGTAACTCTTTTGAAACGCGACTGAATAAGCAATGCGATCACACTTTCGACGCGCGCACGGAAAAGGTTCATAACTTTTTTGGAACGAGACTGAACTGTGATCAGTGTCACGGCTCCGACGCGGCACATGGTTCGATATATCGAATATATCGGCGTACACCTGTGCCTTATACTTTTACACGTGTTTTTTTAAGGGGATCTTTCGACTGTTCGATATAGCCAGTAATTCAATATATCCGAGTTCGATATACCCGGGACAGACTAGTAACTACATATAAATGA